TTCAGGTCTGAGCCATTAAGGAAATCCTAGCCTTCCTCAAGTACTTGAAGAGTGTAAACAGGTGAGGAAGACAGAAGGTCTTGAGGTAAGAAAGAGGACAAGAAAAAAATTAAATGCAAGATCACAGAATACACCAAGTAGGGGAGGAACTCTGCAGGCAAAAATTGTCTCCTCCGACTTAAGACAAACCACTTGTAAAAGACATCAAGCTCCATTTCAATAAACTTCCAACTCTTTCTAAGCCTAGGTAATAACTATTTATTTTTAAAGTCATCTTCAATACAATAAACTCATAATGCTTGAAAAGAATTGACCCAGATTTTTAGAGGTGGCCCGAAGGGAATGTGCCTTGCAATTGAACAACTCCTGAGAGAGGGTTCTGATAGCCTAGATTTCTGGCTTTCCTGATTCTCTGAAAGATTTCTGTATTTCCCATTTGATAAGGAACATTAAAAAAGCTAGCCAAAACCACTATAAAACTCCCCATCTTCCTTCATCTAGAAATAACCTTAAATATAGGATAGAATTAAAATTAGGTGATCAAAAATATTCGAAATGGTGGCAAAAACAATGGTCAACTTTGGGGCAATCAAAAAAATAATAATCAGGAGGCCAAGGCAGGAGGATCACAAGTTCAAAGCCAGCCTCAGCAACTTAGCAAGGCTCTAAACAACTTGGAGAGAACCTGTCTCAAAATAAAATAAATAAATAAATAAAAAAGAGGTTGGGGATGTGGCTTAGTGGTTAAGCACTTCTGGGTTCAATCCCTGGTACCAAATAATAGTGATAATAATAAAATAAGTAATATGATTAATGCTGGTGACTTTAATAACACAGGACCAGTGGGTGTAACTTACACGGATAAAGTACAAGCACACTTATAACAATTAAGAGATCTCAGCAAGAATTCTAACTCTGCCCTGGTCAGCAAGACAGACGTTCGAAGTACATTGAATAATGGTTCATAAACCCACAGCAGTATTTACAAATGTCAGAATGTACTTTACAAAGCAATTGAAGCCAGAACGTTCCCCAATGGCAGTTGATTGAGGAGCAGTGGTTCTTGAAGTGTCCCACCCGCCTCTTCCCTACCAGTTGCATCAGCCACACCTGGGAACTTGTTGGGCATGCAAACTCTCCCACCTACAGAATCAGAAACACTGGGTTGGGGCCAGCAACCTGTGCTTACCAACCCTCTAGGTGATTCTGATTTAAGGGTACTGCTGTAGAAGATACTGTGGAAGGTTCGAGTGTGAAACCAAACAGAAGATGCCTAATTCCATGTGTACAAGCCATTCTCATTCTGGCTGAGCCAGTGCCTGTTCGTGGCAGTGCACAGACTAGGACCTTGTACAAAACACACTTTGAAAAGGTCCTTGGAGATAGGTCCAATGAAAAAGTCATCTATTTTTCATATGTTACCACAGTAACAGTAACACGAAGCATCATTTGCTCCTGAAAGAAAAGTCCCCTTTGCAGGGGACATTATTTACAGAAAGATCACTTTATCCTGAGGAAACCAAATTCTGGAAAAGCAAATAGGGGGAATTCAGCCTTGAAGTCTTCTATATACCCCTTTACAGCCACATTCTAAGTGAACACTCCCTAATTATGACTGCCCAGTATGGAAAACATGTGTCCTAGGCAAACCTTCACAGTCTACTCTGAAAGATGACATTTCCATGTAATGGAGAAAAGAAACGTCTTACTTCAGTCCCTCTACTGATCCCTCAGTCCTAAATTCCAAAAGGAAGGTGACCTATTCCACCTCCGCCCGCCCTTGGCATCTTCTAACAGCCTCCAGTTCTACCTCCAGTTCTCATTGATGAGAACTGCTATAAAAATGTTTATCTTGGGTTATAACCTCATTTCTGTATCATAAAATCAATTTCATTTTGTGTGTAGCCTTTATAATTTATAAATAGCTTCCATATTTATCATCTCATTTGATTCTCCTAACAACCTGTGAGGTGGGTACAGTTTTATTATTCCCACTTTACAGATGAGAAAAATGGAACTTAGTGCTGTCCTGAATAAACAAGTGATCATTGAATATTAAAAGGGAGGCACAAATGCTTCACATCAAAAATTAAAGAGCTCATGACATCTCTCCCAAAGAACTCCTAAACTGGCTCGAGTTTGACTTCTACCAATTGATATCCACCAGAAATCACCTAGGTAGCTTTTCAGGTTGGGTGGTATTTTTCTGGCCTAGAAATGGTGAGGAGCAGGGAGCTGAGGTAGTTAAAATGGACAAACTCTTCCAGTTATAGAACCCACGTAACTTGCAATGCTGCCTAGAATTTTACAGGGTACCAAGTAACAACAACAACACGGCGGTGAATTGGCATTAAGATTGAAAAGCTCCTACTACAAGCCAGTACCATTCTAAATATATTCAATATATCCGATAATTCTCAACATCCCCATTTTACAGAGGAGAAAAACAAGGCACAGATTAGCTAAGCATCTTGCTGAAGACTACATTTTGTTCCCTGGACACTGAGGAGGACGTGCAACTGGAAGTGCCAAGACCCTGTGGTGTGTGTCTGCCAGCAATGGAAACCCTACATGGGATGGCAGCCCCTATGAGAACCTGAGTTATGTTTCCAAAGTTGCCATTTGGGCAACAGTCTCCACACTCTGTCACTCAAAGCATTAATCAGCAGCATTCAGGTTCCAAGTAATCAAGCATTAGCTCAGACTCCTAATAGCCCTTCTCAGACTGTCCCCAGCCAGGAAGGTTTTCTAGATCTTGCTTAGCAATGGAACAGACTGATTTGCCTGGAACTGCCTTTAACTAATTTAAGAAAAATTAGAGAGGAAAGCAGCTTTGGAGGAAACATGGCAAATTAAAGATGCATGTGGGAGGCAGCAGTTCTAGTAAATGCACAGAACTGACAGCTCTGATTTTTCTTTTAAAGAAATATAAATAAAAAGGAGTCTTTAGTGGTGTAAATTACTACTGTTTTTTTTTCTACTTTTTTTCAACTGCTCACATTTTGGAAGTGTATGAGCCAGCTTTTACATATTGATCAATTTTTTTATGTTTATACATCTTTTTCTTAAGGCAGGAAACAAAGACCAAGTTGGAGAGAACATTCTTAGACAAAAGAGAAAAATTTCACGTCTTTGCTATGAGTGTGCTATGATGGAGGTTGTGGGTAGGGGCAGAAAACTTTCAAAGACTTCCTCAAATTTGTTTGCCTTCATCATTTTCTGTCTCTAAATTTTCATCGAATAACCACCTTGAGGTTCTAGGAGTTCAATGGAAACCTGACTTAATAGCAAAGAAAGTTCCAGGGTATTCTACCCAATCTCTCCTTAAAGCAAAATCCCACTCCTGAGACATTGGTACCATTCTGACCACAAGTAAAGTGACATTTCCTTATCCACATTTCTTCCACATTCTTATAATCCTGGTCCAACTACTCACTGTGGGCCCTGTGGGCTTTTCTTCCCTCCTGGAGAAAATGGGAATGATAATCAGGTGGGTGTGAAAACTAAATGAGTTAATAAACTAGTAGTGTGCCTGACACAGTAAGCACTCACATAGTGTTAGCTATTATTGCTACTATTATTTGCAAAAAAAAAAAAAAAAAAAAAACCTCATAACACCACCTCAGAACAGGGAATCTATCCAGGAGGCTTCCACTTATCTGCAATGTTTCACTGCTTTTAAAACAATTTTTTGTACTGAAACAAGTCAATACACAATACATAATACAAAATGCAAAAGGGGGAGCTCTTAGGAAGGAGGTGAAAAGCTGCCTATAATCATATCACCTGTTGGTGAGTTTTAGGCGAGGATGCAGAGAGCATCTCCTTCCACGACTGCCCCATATTTTCCCCTAGAGGATGAGTTCCCTGCTGCTGCGATTCTTCATCACCCTTAATCACGGTATCAAGGACAGTACTGCAGGCTGTTCCATGAACCCCCTGCAATCCTACACTAACTGGATGAGGTCGCAGCTCTGGGCATTGCGGGGTGTGTTCTAAAGCTTTCTTCACACTTTAATGGTCCTATAGCGATGTAGCCAGCAACTTGCTTTGCAAGGTGAGACTCAGGAGATAGCTACAATTCCTTCCACTGAAGGCTGCAGCGGTAACCGGGACACCTGGACTGATCATCAATCAGCTAACACCTGAGAGACCCAATACCACTAGGGGCAAGAGTCCCAGACAGCGTGCACCCCTGAGCTCCTGACCGCGTACGGACATACCTATGAACTTCATGGTAGAAAAGCGCACGGGCCACCCAGACCAACCCCAGGTGTGCGCGGTTTAACTTCCCCTCCCCTCCTCCACCCCTCATTCATTTCCAAGAACAAACTCAAAGGAAACTGGCAACGCTCTGCTTAGGGTTTCACTCCTGCCCTCGACTGACACTGAAACCACTTCTTCCAAGGAAGTTAATTAAAAGAAAAACTAATCCGCACAAAAATCCAAAACCTACCCCAAAGCTCAAGAGCTCTTAAAGTTAGAAGATTGAGGGCGCCTAAGGGGACCCTGAACTTCTGTCCGTCTGGGGCTCAAGGGTAGGCAGGGGGTACAAGATACCAAGCAAAGGCCAGCCAGAGAGGGTCGGACGCCCACCCCCGGCTCCAAAGCGGCTCAGAGTCTACACGCCACCAACGCCGGTGAAGACCGGTTTGGAGGCAGCCAGGTAAGCAGTAGGTGTGGGCTTGTGTACGAGCAGACACACAGCCGCGGCGGATTAAAGTTCAAACCCGTTCACACACCGCTTCCCCTTCCCTGGCGTTCTCACGCACCGCCCAGGCGGCCACTACCCAGGGAAAGCCCGGGCGCTTGACAGTCCCTCTCTTTGTAATTCTTAGCGTCTCCCTTTGCCTCCCAGGCTCCAACCCATTAAAAGCATTAGCCACCCTCAACTCTCCTGCCTGCACAGAAATCCCCCAGAAAAAAAAAATGAAAAGGAAGGGACGGGGGAAGCGGGGTGTCGCAGAGGGCGCACCACGAGCAGCAGGCAGTGTACTTACCGAGCGCGAACAGGGCGAGCTGTCCAGCCGAGGTGACCATTTTACGGGCGGGCGGGCAGCAGGCGCTCCAGCCTCCTGCCCTCCCTGAGGTGCCCAAGTGGCGGAGCGGCGCCGCGGTGCGGGGGGAAAAAAGGCGCTGGCAAAGCAGGGCCGGCCCCCCTCGCGGGCGGGCGGGCCGAGGGAGGACCGAGCGCCTCCCGACTGGCACTACCCCTCAGCGCTGCCAGGCGGGCGGAAATCGGAAGGAGCTTACCGTCACCTCTCGCCACTCGGCGACCAGGGCACGACGGACCACCCTCCAGCCCCAATGGGGGTGCCCCCCTAAGGCTACGGGGGGTGGGGACTGGGGGCGGGGACTCTGCACGCACCGAGCAGGGCGCGGGCGGCTGGGCGGGGCAACCCGGGACTCCCGGAGCAGGGCAGCGCGAGCCTGTCACCCAGGCCAAGGAAAAGACAGGGAGCATCTGACTTCAGACACCACCCTCAGACTGCCAGTGTAGTGCGCCCGCCGGCCCCTACGTACGGGGTCGGCTCCTGCTGCTCAGCTCGAGGGTCCCTGGGCGCAATGACAGTTTCCAGGCTCTAGGCGGCGGAGCAGAGCCGCCGGGCTCCTGTCACCTGCGCTGAGGGCGGCTCCAGCGGCCTCTCGCGGGCGGGGAACTGGAGACGCGGGTCAGGAATGCGACCTGTGAACTTTGCCGGCTGCCTGCCATTACTTGGCCCAAGGAAATGCTCCCCATAATCAAGCCAAAATTTTGTTAAATTAGGTTTCTCTCTTCGTCCTCAGTCTCATCAATTCTAGGGACGTCAGCCTCCTTGGCACATCGTGAAGATCAGGGAATCTTAGTATTTACTTCTAACCTGACACTGATAATGAAGATGAAGAAGAAACCTGAATGTGCACCCCTAATGCTACCCATACCCTGATGCAGGGAGTTGAGGCTAGGAACTAGCAGCACTCCATCAAATGTGACAAAAGAGAGGGATGTTGGGTGGGAGTCACCTAGGTGGCCCTTTCAGAATTTGTGGTTTTGAGCTGACTCCTGATGCTGGAATTTAGGAGGTGGATGGAACAAAGGAAAGATATTCCGAGCGGGGAATGGACGACCCATAGATGTCTCAGGGACCGTCCACAGGGAAGAGTATCCCTCATAGAGTCAGTGACCAGCCATAGAGCTCACAGACTAACCCTTTTCTCCTGCCTCCTCCAGCCTCGCTGTTCCTGGGCAGCCCACTCTTCCTGGAAGATGGAAGCTGTTGCCTTGCAGGAGGCTCTGAGTCTCAGAATTGACTTTTGCCAGTTTGTGCACCTATACAGCCAGAGAAATGAGAAGTTGGGCTCCATTTGTGTACAATGTGTCAAAATTCATTCTATAAAATCATGGTATTTGCAGGCAAACGGATGGAGTTGGAGAATACAATGCTAAGCGTAGTTAGACAATCCCCAAAAACCAAATGCCAAATCTTTTCTCTGATATAAGGATGCTGGTTCATAATGGGGCTGGTTGGGGGGGGCATGGGAGGATTAGAGGAACTCTGGACAGAGCAAAGGGGAGGGAGGGGAAGGGAAGGGGCATAGGGGCAGGAAAAATGTGGAATGAGATGGACAATATTACCCTAAGTACATGTAAGAGGACACTAATGGTGTGACTCTACTTTGTGTACAGAGGCATGAAAAATTGTGTTCTATATGTATAATATGAATTGTAATGCATTCTGTTGTCATATATTACAAATTAGAATTAAAAAATTTAAAAATGCATTCTACTGTCATGTATAACGAATTAAAAATAAACAAAGAAAGCACCTGGCCATTTATCTCAACATTTGGGTAGGAAATACCTGTCAAAGGGGGACATTGGAGAGAGTGTAAATTTGCATTAGTAAATCATTCTCTTCATTACATTTGTTAGAAGACATTTTGTTGTTCTTCAGCCTTAATGATTTGCATTGGTGGGTGTTATAGTTTAGATAGCAGGTGTTCCCCAAAAGTTCATGTGTGAGACAATGCAAGGACACTCAGAGGTGAAATGATTGGGTTATGACAGCTTTAACCCAATCAGTGAATTAATCCCCTCATGGGGACTAACTGTGTGGTGACTGACCGCAGGTAGAGTGTGCAGGAAAAGGTGGGCATTGGGAGTGTGCCTTTGGGGTGAATATTTTCTGTCTGGTGAGTGGAGTCTTTGCTTCCTGATATGATGCTGCTTCCCTCCACCACACTCTTCTGCTGTGATGTTCATTCCTCCTCCCCTTAGGCCAGGAGGAATGAAGTTGGCCATCTATGGGCTGAGATCTCTGAAACTGTGAGCCCCCAAATAAACTTTTCCTTCTCTAATTGTTCTTGTTCTTTGCTCATAGAGACAAACAAAACAAAACAAAAACCTGACTAAAACAGCGGGTGAGAGTTTCATTGTAAATTCTGGGGTGCATCTTTTCCTCAGTTCACTGCATTGGTGCTTTCCGACTTCTTTCAGTGTCTGGGGTCCACCTCCTTCAGCTGTGTTTTTACCTGTTCTGATGGTTTCCCTGTGTCCTCCCTAGTCTATCTGCCTTGACATCTGGAGGTAAGGAATCAGGAGTTCTTCCACCCTCTGCTCTCAGGACTGGAGAGGGACCTGTCCATCTTGCTTCCTCCTGGAACATGCACATCAACACAGCTTGGTGTGGCTGCCAGTCAGCTGCCCTGCTATCTGAGAGTGTCTACCTCTCTGCGCTTGTCTACACATAGACCAGGATCCAGAAAGTATCCCCAGAATCAAGCCAATGAACTTGTCCCCTGATGGACTGACTGGAAAATCTTTTTAATCAAGAGAAAAATTTTCATCTTTGTGAACTAAAAAGTACACAAATCAAAGGACATTCTAATATTTGAAAATCATTAATTCTCCCCCAAGATTCTCTAGAGCTGGTCCATATCTGTGGTTTTATAATCTTCCAATTCTTTCTTGGTCAAAAGAAAATCAAAGTCAGGAACACAACCAGTGAATTTTGCCAGCTGTCTGCCAAGACTTGGCCCAAGGAAATGCTCCCCATAATCAAGCCTCATCAATTCTGGGGACATTGCCTCCTGGGCAAAGCCCTGTCACATTGGGAAGATCAGGGAGTCTTAGTACTTCTAACACAACACTAATAATGAAGATGAAGGGGGAACTAGTTTTGTTTTTAACTTAAGCACTTTTCATTTTATTTTGTAAACCAACTGAAATTATTTTGAACTTTAATTCACAGGACTATTTATTCATATCCTAAACCATTGATGATCTGGCTTTGGCACCTTATTTAATCTTCACAGTGACCTTATAAGATAGATCCTATCCCCTTTTCATATGACTACCGTGGAGCTGAAAGAGTTTAGTAACTTACAGAGGCACACAGCCAGCAATCACCAGAGTCCGATTTTGAGAACAAAATGAGCTGGTTCCAAGGCTCATGTATTTGCTTCTCTGCTGCTGCCTCAGTTTCCACATCTTAAATAAGCATAATACTTGGCTCGTTTAGTTGATGTCAGGATTAAGTGCAAGAATTTCTTTTATGCTTGGCACAGTATCTGATATCAACAAACTATTTCAAAAATCTTCCTCAGTGGACACATCTCTAAGTGTCCTCCCATCATTCTTATTGTACCATTTCTATATTGGTTTCTTGGGCATATTCATATGCCTGAATGCATGTGTGCATGCGCACATACATCTCTTCCTATGGGAAAGAGTTTTACAGTAAATCAAGAGCTATGAATTAGTGTCTCGGCCCGCAGTGTGAGAAGGAGGAGGAAGAAAATCACAAAAAAGCAATTCAGAGCAAAGAAAAGAGATGTCCTAAAAGATAGTGTGGCATCTTTGTAATTTAACAATCCCAGATACACTGCTTTCTGAGCTGAGGGAAATTCCAGCATAGAGCTTCATTGAAGTTGTGTGGAGACTCAGGTGTGTTCCCTTTACCTCCAAACTCTTGGACCTGTCTTAAGGGGCCACTGAGGCTCCTTTTTCTATGTGAACACCGAGCCTTCCTTCTAGAAATACACCTCCACTGCCTTTGCATACATGAACTTCAGCCGCCCTTGAGCTCTGTGTAATCCCCCCTATAACATGCTGATCACAGCCTGTCCTTCCCGTGCAAATAAGAGAACTATGTTATATCCTAGGCAGAGGTTGGTAAAACCCCACTGTCAGTTTTCCCTTTCCTTTCTTCTACATACTTATTATGGAGGGTATATTTACAGGGGCCCCTTCTTCACTGTAAATAGCCACTCCCTCCTTCCTGATTCATTTATGCAAGGGATTGTGGAGCCACAAGCCCCACAGTCTTCCCTCAGTGGTTCAGGGCAGCTGAGCTTGCTGTTTAGCTTGCAGTTACCAGAGACATCTGTGAGTAAACAGCTCAAGCATTCTTAGGGAGGAAGCACAGCCATGCGCCACAGCATTGGAGGAATTGCAATTCCTGCGGACAAACCTCAGAGCCAGTGACCAGAGCGGCTTCAGGTGGTTGCAGGACCTTCCCTTGGGGGCAGTAGCAGATGGGGGTGGGAGGGGGCGGTTCAGAGGAAAAACAGAAGCACCTGGCATATAGGAGGGCAAAGGTCAGATGTCATCTGTGTAGACAGAGAGAGAACTTTATAAAGGACTCTGGACAATTTTGTTTAGGTAGAGTGAGGGAATTTTAAATGTGATACGGGATTTAGGAAAATAAATTTAATCCAAAGTGAGGTATTGTCCAATTATCAGCCCCCCACCCCCAGTAGCCTCAGCTATTTGTGTATTCTTTATTTCTAGATGAGGAAAAAGTAGGAAACTTTCTGCTGAGCTCATTTTTATACAGTTTTCATCACCAGCAGAATGGGTTGGGTAAGTAGAGACAATAGTCTGGGTGATTTTCATTGCCAGTGTTTTCCAAAGACTGTAACCCTCTGCTTCACATCTTCTACCTCCCCAACTATCCGGTCTACCTTGGGAGTGCACTGGCATGTGTGTTAAGCTTGACTTCTTCCTTCCCAGAGAATATCATGAAATGATCCCAAAGCCCAGCATTGAAGCTGGGAGGTCAGTGGTTTCATGAGTTGTCCAAATATCTCTATATCCTAGTCAAAGCACTAAGTCAGAGTCTCTAGGACTCTGGGTCACCAAATAGCTGCGACAAAGAAAGACAATTATTTTCTTATATAGCTCAGCAATTTCCCAGTGGTCAGAATGTAGTATTCATGCCCAGAGGATTCAGCACAGCAGATGCCAAACCCTTTCATTGAGCATGCTTAGAAGGAGAAGGGCTAACACATTTCATTGTTTTCTCTGTCTTTTCTATTATCCCTAACAGCCTCCACCACATTGCCACACCCTCAAGAGGACTGGAAAAATAGCCCCCAGAATTCTCAGGATTTCCCCTGGGAAAGTCCAAAAACCAAATGCCTAGAAATCCTTTGGCAAGTAAAACTGATGATGTGATGGAAATAGGGTAGCGATGGTCAAAAGAATCAAAAGAAAGATCGGAAACAGAAAATATAAAGAATCAAGGAGAAATCTATGAACAATAGTCACAAAGGGACTTCATATTTTAGTTTTTCAGTGAAGGGTCAGCCTGGCTGATAAACTCAAGAAATACTCTCCAAGCTCAGAGGAAAAGGGGGGAAA